GAGAGGAGGCACCTGGTCCACGAATCAGAAGGACTGCGGGGTTGAGGGTCTCCAGTGACACGCAGAGACACACTCCCTGTCCTGCTGCTGGTCTTCCTATTGACTCACAGTTTTCCTCCTGTCGGAATTCCTGTGTGTGTGTGTGTGTGTGTTATTGCATCAGTCTTTGTGTCAGTTTGTTTATTCAACTGTATATAAAGCTCGCACTGGAATTTGCTCCGTGTTAATTGCGTCGGATGTCGCTGGGTTTCAGGAATGTTGTGATTGTTCTTGTTGTTGACTTTCATTGACTGACTTTAAACCCCGGCCGGCACGCTAACACAAACGCGCGCCCGCACACGCGTGAGCTCCTGCAGCTGTACAAATGTTTCATCTAAAAGTGGCTAATTAGGTTTAGGTTTAAGTTGGTTAGTGCGCGATCGCTTGTTGACTGGAGAGTCACTAACTACTAGCGTGTAAACATAAGAAACTATAGATTCAACTCTAGATTCCTGCCAATCTCAATGGAGATTAGTCTTGGTCCACTTCAGTTGAGGTAGTACCAACAGAACCACAGTCTACCTGAGTACCGTTGTGGGTCCTGTCCTGTCCCATAGATTCTTCTATCCGAAGAATAACTAGTTAGGGACTATCTTTTTTTTTTTTTTTTCAGGTAGGTCGCAAGGTTTTTTTGGGGGCAGGGGGTGTAGTTCGGAGAATATGGTAACTATAAATAATAATAAGTCCATGTTTAGTATCCAAGTACTGTTATTATTTTTTTCGTATTCAATGAAATATACTTTTACAAAAATATCCTGAACATGAAGCGTTTGCTTTTTTTTTTTTTCTTTTCAAAATTCATCAAGCTGCTAGGATTGAGTTCCCTCAGTGGTCCAGTTGTTTTTTTTTTCAAAATTCATCAAGCTGCCAGGATTGAGTTCCCTCAGTGGTCCACTATTGGGCCCCGGGCCATATGCTTGACACCCTGGTATAAACTGAAAGTTTATTTGATTTTGATCATTTTTCTGACCTACTCATAGACAACAAACTACTAGAATCAAGAAACCCAGTAATTGTACAAAACGCGAAGAATCTAGAAAATTGTATTTAAAGTACACATACAAATGAAAAAAAGGCCTATTTGGGAAAGAAAATGTCCAACAACAGTCTGCAGTTTGTCTCTAGATGTCTACCGCAATCTCCACGTCTATCCAATCATCATGCAGAAGACAATCTTCCAGCCCTGCCACTGCTCGTAGACAAGCAGTCGTATTTCAGACAAGCAGAAATAATGTGTATTTGATAAGTAAAGTGTATTTGATACATTTATCTAATCTTTGTCTGGCCACATGATGCCCTATGAAAGACAGTTGGATTAAGATAAGTTTCCCATGTTTTGGGCAACAGTACAAGAATTGGTTTTTATTTTTTACACATTTAGACTCTTCTAAAGGAGAGACACAAATTCACATCTCAGTCTGGAATGTTTTCGGTTTCACTCAACGGCTTGACTTTGAGAAACTCCACAGTTAGTATTTGAGGTCTTTACTGAAAACCCACCAGTTTAGGCTGCTTTTTAGTGAGATTTTCCCTGGACCTACCGGGAAAAATACTTTAGACAACAGCGACCTCCACTGGTAATTTATTTTAGCGGTTACTTACTTCCCCTTCAACATGGCTCTGCAACCTTCTACGCCAAAAAAAAAAAAAAAAAAAGAAAGAAAGAAAAAAAAAGAAGAATGAAAACATTTACTCTGACGTGGAAAGTTGTGTTGTTTGGTTTGTTGTTTTGTAAATTTCAGAGCATCCAAAATAGCGTAAAGAGCGTTTAATTCGACCCTTCTGTAACCAACAATAATAAGTGTTTAATTTATTATGGATGTCACGTGTCAAGTTGTCTTCTTGAAATGTGTTTTATCATTATTATTATTATTATTTATTTTTATTTAGTCATTTAGAAATATTAGGAATCTGTTGTATGTGCGGGAAACGAACTAGTTTTTTTTTTCCCCTAATGACCATGACACATTACTAACCTCTAGTGGTCATCTTTGGTAATATTACTTAAATGGGGAAAAAAAACTACATGTAATGCAGCAACGCTTTATTTCGTGCTTTATTTAGTGATATGTTGAATTGACATATTTAAAATTAAACAGAATATTGAAACAGACAAACAGTTAAATGTAATGAGAATGAACCGTAAATGTTAGAAGTCAAAAGTCCCATAATCTGAGTGTGTGTTTGTGTGTGTGTTGTTAGAGATACTGTATAATGATAAACAGTGAGACGAACTTTTTCATCTGCAGCTTAAACATTAACACACAGTTGTAAATCTTTAACTACTCTACCCTCTTCATTACAGCTAACCTTAAGCTTAAGGTCACAACACAACAAATGTCTTTTTATTCTTTAACAGGTGGACTTTAATCACATCGAGACGAGACAGTTTAGACATGGGATCCCCAATCGATCCGCAGATAATTTGCTACTACTCTGCTACTTCATTCCAAGATGATCCACTCATATCTATTTACTTTCTTAAAGATAATCTGGCGATATTAGGAAATAATTTCACTGAGACTGCAATGCGAACGGAGGTTTAAAAAATCTTTTATTTCGATAATTTAATGATTCGTAATGATAATTCAACAACCGGTCCGCAGTAACGGTCGATACTGGCCTTTAGGTGTTCTTAGCCGTCGGTTAAGAAGAGGGTCGTGACCAAGAGCTGACTGACAGCCTTTGTGGTCAGTGTTAACAGTGACCTTCAATGACCTTCAGGGCTGCTGCTGTCCATCTTTTATCAACCATCAGCTCTGACCCAACAGCTTTAATCATCATCACTGAAGGGTCTTCAATCAGGGCAGATCAGTCTGTGTGTAAACCCAGCCCTGACATCACTGGAGACTACTGAACACACACACACACACACACACACACGCATGCATGTACACACATTGTTAAAATTAATAACGTAGTCATAAAAAATTTTCATTAAAAGCGCAGGAGTCAATAAAGGTGATAAGAGATCCAGAGATCACTTCCTTTTTTAGTGACGGGGTATGTGCACCGACTGTAAATATGCCATAAAATGGATTAATGAACAAATATTGTATGTGAATTTGATCAGATCATTTGCAAAAAATAGACCAGTCTTTATTTTCTATACAGGATTGATGGATGGATGGATGGATGGATGGATGGATGGATGGATGATAGATAGATAGATAGATGGATGGATGGATGGATGGATGATGGACGGATGGATAGATGGATGCATACATAGATGGATGATGGATGGATGGATGACTGGATGGATGGATGGATGGATGGATAGATGGATGGATACATAGATGGATGATGGATGGACGGATGGATACATTGATGGATGGATGGATGGATAAATAGATAGATTCATAACCAAAAACATATTTTTGTTTGTGAAAAACTTGATTATGATTTTCTTGAAAGAATCCCCTATAAATACAATAAAATACCTCAGGGTTTTTCAAAATGCTCTAAAGCTTTTAATCATGTGTATAATTGTGAAAAACAAAAAAAACAACCACGCAAGACATTCGTGAAAGAAAATATAAAAATAAAGTTAACAGTGCAAAAATGACTGAAACCAAGTCGGGAAAAGCAAATGTAATAACCTTATCAAAAGCAGGAGCTGCCGCTACAGGAGGAGGAGCAGAAGGAGGAGCAGGAGAATGTGAAAGATTAGACCTAACTTGTCACTCGGAGTCATTCATTCATCCTGCAGCAACAGGAAGAGCAGGGACACTTACGCTAACCCTCACTTGGTCTGTGGGTCTAAATTGAGTCTTAGTCAGTCTGTCAGTCAGTCTGCGAGTTCCAGTCTGTCTGTGAGTCAGTCTGAGGGTCTAGATCTGTTTGTGAGTCTGTGTGTGCTGAAGTCTAAAGTCTAAAGCTCAGGGTCTAACATAGTCTGATTATTGGACTAAGCCTGACTTTGAGTTTCTCTGAGTCTTCTCTGAGCCCTAACCTCTTGTGGCTACTTCTCACACTAACATGCGGTCGTATGGATGGACCGGTGCTCTGGTTCTGGTTCTGGTTCTGACTCTATCTAATCTGACAGGTAAAAAAAAAAAAAAAAAAAAATCTTTTCCTTCTTTATAATCTTTCTTTTTTCATGCAGACTTTCATTTAGCATCAATATTGTGAATATGTGGTCTTTACAGAGAAAGTGATTTTTACTGTTTTACTTTGCATTATTGTCACAAACTGTGTATGAAATGTACTTCATAATGCTCCAAAAACTGGGTCAGTGACACAGGTGAATCATGGGAGATTGTTTTTTTTTACCCTAAAGCTACAGCAGACTGCAATCAAAACATGATATTTTTTTTTCTATTGCTTTGCTGTACCTAACTCCATAGCAAATATACCTCCTTTAAAAACACAAATACTTCAACCATTGGTTCCCCATAGATCAGGATCAAGGAGAAGATAACAAAGGCATAAGCGTAAACCAGAGGTTCCCAATTCAGGGGACGCAGTGCTGTTTTTGGGGGTGCCTGAATGAATGAATGAATGAATGAATGAATGAATGAATGAATGAATGAAAAACGTAATGCAGCATATTTTCCAATGCTGTAAATGCTCAACAAGAGACAAAAAAAAAACAGATTGGTTCAAGGCCGTGTAATATGAATATCTGATAATATTATATATTTTTTTAATTTTCGCTGTCGTTATTTTAACATCCCGCAGTGTTCTGTAGTTGTTGCCGTCAAAGTCTGAATGGCTTAGCGTCCAACAATGGAACAACTGTGCTCAGCATTTAGGTTGTATGTATTAATAGCCGTCCGGCAGCTACATTGGAGTTAAGCAAATGGCAGATCCTAATACGTACAGGTAGGAGTGGAAGTATGGGTGGAGCTACTGTACTGTATTATTATCATTATCATTATTGTTATTATTGTTATTATTGTTATTATTATTATGTCGTCTTTAACTAAACAGCCATGTGTGTATGTTGTTTGCTTTTTCAGGGAAATCTGCAGCTGTGGATGGAGCAACAGAGAGGAACTGTTCCTTGTCTCCCCCGGTGAGACTAGTCCTGAAGCTGAAGATGAGAAATGATTGGATTTATGCTTTATGGAAATTT